GTAGCACCTAAATAAAGAAAAACCTAGTTGCCCCCGTGGACTAGCACGATCAATCTGATCGTGTGAACCACGTAAATTCTTGTGTTCTTCTCTTGTTTTTGGGTTGTGCATAGGGTTGTGCGTATTGCATGTGTAACGTTTGTCCTAACAAAAACTAAAGTGGCCTATTGGCAAATATGGCTTCATGAGATGGATCACATCACAGGTTTGGATCTTCCTATGCCTCCTTGTGGTTTTTTCCCAATGCCCAGACACAAGAAACTACCCAACATAAACCAAGTTTATGCAACCAAATGAAACTGGTTAACAGGATATAAGGATTATCACCTCAAGCGCATTGACAACATGGTTCTACAAACCGACCTAAGCAAAGGGGTAGAAAATCAACTCTTTGCAAAAACTACCATTATGTACTTAGAAATGAGTTTTGTTTTTCCTCAGAGCTAACCAATTCACGCCCTAATAAAAATCAAACTTAACCAAAATAGAAACTGTGACAAGCTTTCTTGACCCAAATCCATAAGCTAGCATTATAACTTAAAACTTAAAACAAAAGTAAAAAACGATTCCATTCAAAATGAACCAACAGATTCAGGAATAAGAAGGGAAAAATAAGCAAAGGAGAGGTGTCCCAATGATTGTCTTTAAGATTTATGAGTAATGTATCGACAAAGAAGCTAAAACAACTTATGCTTATTAAACACGTAATTGCATAGGCTTTATGAAATACAATGTTGCATTTTGCCGGGAACAAGAGCAATTGCTTTAGAACTGCAGGCAAAGGCCCACAATCTATAGAGAGAGCCCTTATTTCACCTTATATAGCCGACTCAAGCTCTAGGTTTAAAGATAAGTTAAATTATACATGTGTATATTTCTCTGCTAAAGATCAAGCTAATATAAAATCTCAACATGAACTACCTGCATATGTGGTCCAAGTGATGCTTCAACAACCTCTGGCAAAACGGTATAGTTTCCATCTATATAATGGAGACGGACCTGGATGTTGCTGCTCCCTACCTGAGAAACAGGCAATGGGTGTGCCAGACCTTGTGTTCGTTTACAAAGATCCATTAGTATGAGAAAAAGGACCTTTACCTGCATGACAGCAACAGCCTATGAGATATGAAACTACAGGAACAGTGTCTCAAAGCAGTAAAGTTGACTTCAAGCTTCGTAGGATATCAACTGATGTTCTAATATATTGATCCTCCTTCCAAAGCAAAATGAACTTCCCCCTATTTTTGTCCCTAATTAAATGAGCATCAACTTTTTAAGCAACATTTACAACCATCTTTTGTGACCTTTCAACGTCTAATAGAAGCTCAATCATGATTCTACACTTGAGCTAAACATATAGTGTCAATCAAACGTGTTTTCATCACACAAGGCTAAGAGCAGGAAGCCTTTGTGGATGGAGTGGTCGGGTGGCTCGTATTGGCACAATTAAAGGTTATTTTATTCTAGGTTAGGGTTGGGTGTTCCCTTTCATTTTGCATCGTTTTTTGTTGTTTCTTGGGCCTTAGTCTTCTGTAGTGGGTTGTTTGGTCTTTCTTGGCGTTCTGCTCCTTGCAGAATTTGGCCTCTTTGTTTTGTTTCTGTAATTTTTGGTTTCTCTTTCCAGTAATAAAAAAATTTCCTTTAAAAAAATTGTGTTTTCATCAAGTTCCATATATAGCTCATTCATTTATATCAAATATAAAGCATTTTTTGTTGTTTGGTGACAAAATGAATGTATACTTATAGAAAAATAAATTCAGTGACCTGTGTGATTTACATATAAAATCGGTATAAGAATTTTTTTGGATTTCATTGATTGAGCAACGGCTCTTTTATCTGAGATGAAGTATACTTCATTATTAAAAGCCGGCAATTAAGTAATGGCTTTACCTCGTCAAATGTGTATCCTTGACCAGCATTGCCAGAACCACATCTTGACCTATTTGCTGGACCTTCTTCAGGGCCTTTTGCTCCAGAGCCAATCTGCCCAGCTCGAGAAATGGGTAACTCTTCTGATCTACCCAAAGATGATGCCACTTTTGTAGGAACGGAGCTGATTTCTTCAACCTTGCCGGTAGCACCAGGCTGAGGTTTATGCACAGCTGAATCTGTGTTCCTTTGAGCAGCACCTATGAATCGGGGTAGTTGAATCCGCCGGAAGAAAAAACAAAACAGCAAAAGCTGACACAATCTATGAAGAAAATGACAGTCCCCAATAAGTCTGACAGCTGGAGTTCCAGGGAAAGTTCCAGTATTTATACTTATAGGCATAAACGAAGACGGGCCACTAATGGGATTGGGAGTCGCATTAGAAACTCCATCAGAGGTGCTACTGATCTTGGCAATAGCTCCTTGTACCCAGGCTTGAATTGGAGTGCTTGCAGTTGAACTTGCAGTACCATTTTGAGCACCTGGAAAATGAAACCAAGTAACTGAAATTTTAACCATTTCTCCATACAATCGTATATGACTGGATTAATAACCAACACATCACATGTGTAGCAAAAACTGACCCTGTGTAGCTCCAGTATTGCCAGTACTTGGGGTGGGACTGATCACCATGTTACGGTTGCCGCCTGTACCTGCAGTTACGGCATGACTTGCCAATGTACGACAGAAACTAGCATAACGACGCAAGCGTGTAATGAAGTGTGAAGCTAGATCGAGAACAGCATCAACATATGCCTACACATTGAGCATTACAATCAGCAAAAAAAACTAATTAATAAAATCAGGGAGGAGTTCAGTTCAAACCTGGACGTTTAGTACAAGTGCTGGATCAACAGCCATAGCTTCATGGTCAATGCTGTTTAATGTCTCACCAGATGCCTGCCATGGCTCACCTACTAGAGCTGAAGGATTAATCAGAGCCGACTCTATTCCTTTTCCTAGCATATCCAGTAGTAATCTTGCTTGCATATCGAGCACCATTGCTCTCACTTCCTGAGCATTTGTACCTTCTAAGAGTCTGCATTTTATCCTGTCTAATCCCTGCATCGTTCAACGCCACTTTTGTAATTCTTTTTCTGACGATAGCAGCAAGCCCGAAAGTTCTTCGCATTAAAAGACAGACAAGCATAATATAATGCATATGTACATTCATGGAGAAGAAACAAAAGGAACCCCACATATCTAACAGAGAAGAACCAAACCGGACATAATTCCAAATAACTCAACAGGGAAGTCAAAAAAACTTGAGCATATATGAACAGTTGAACAGCAACCAACCAAGTCTAAATATGGCAAACCATTAGACAGCTATAAGAAGAACCGGTGCATCCATGCAAACATTAGATTTAGAAGCAGCAGGCTCTGCATAGTTGGAGGTTGAGGTGTCTAACACATGATCTCCCTTCTAATGCCTGTTAAAATATAGACTTTTGAAGTTGTTTTATCTTCATGGTTTTCAAGTGTTCATATCTGTCTTCGTTAATCTCACCAGTTCTTTAAATAAATGCATGAATGTAACACAAAAGCCAAACTATTTGTTGATTTTTCTGGTAGACTTTTTGGATAGAAAGAAAAAATTATGGACCAAAGATATTTTTTCTAACCACCATTATAACTTGGATAAAATTCAGTAAAATCTATCAAACATCAGACCTCAGATCCAGCGGATAAAATTCAGTAAAATCTATCAAACATCAGACCTCAGATCCAGCAGATTCTATTTCTATCAATCTAAAAGATGGTGGAGAGTAGAGAAACTCAAGAGATAAATGAGAGACAAATATAATATACAACAGAGCCCTAAAGTTTGTCTGGATTTCTACTTTCAGCATGTCCAACCATACAAGTAACCCAGCAATTAAACCGAGGTTCGTATATGCAAAGAAATTTCACTAGCAGATGCCATCATATCGGCACAAGGCTAAATAGAACAAAATAAAAGCACTCTACAAAACAGTTTACGCGTTTAGATAGCATACGTATCATACAACCATAATATGCAAGTATGAGACACAACTGGAAAGAGTTTGAAGAAACATACAGGACCATATTGCTGTCGGTGCTGAGTGGAAGGAAGAGAATGAAAATCAGCATCAAGAACCGCAATCACATTGTTTAATGAAACTGAGTAAAAACATAAGAACCACAATATCAAAACATGTTCTTGGAAACCCATAAATAGCATTTCATTTATATAATTCCTCCAAATCAAACCGAATGAATTAAATAAGCAGAGAAATCAAAACGGCATTAGAAACATTAATGTATCATAATCTCCATCCAAAGCAGATGAGAAAGGTAATAAGAACTCAAATTGCACATAATGCAACTTGGTGTGTTGGAAGATGGTGTAATCAGATATGAACTCTAGATCATATCCAAAATTTTGGTAGAAAAAGGAAATGCTAAATGAAGGGGGTTGATATGCAATACAAGGAACCAGAACATGTAGCTTAGGGTTGACATCTAACTGAAGATGAATGTTGAACAGCTACATAAAGCTAGAGGAAACATCACTAATCCATAAAAAGGAACTTGTAACACGAATCTCTTTATGTTAATTAGTAACTAACAAAGCTACTTTTCTTCAAAAGTCTGAAGTCACTTTCTTCAACTTAGTCAATGTTTTTTCCGGTTTTACTGAAGGCAAAAGAGCCTGAAATGGTCCTCTTAGCCAAGATTGAAAGGATGTCAATCTCCCACTCTCAGTCTGGTATTCGAGAAGGAGCACTGACTCGTCAATGAAGCCGACATGGGGCTAGAGTCATCACATCAAGTATTGGGCACGTGGGTGAGTGAACTCTGAATGAAATGAGTAATTTGTTGGTGCTTGCCTTTCAGTAAGTAGTTCGGAGAAGGCCATCATAGACCAAGATTCAAAGGGGCCACGGCTGCTGCAAGGAGTTAGCCGGGGCTTCTTCCTTGAGTGGAAGGGAAAAAAAATCTTCTATGCACAGACGTGAAAGCCCAGTCATTCTTACTGACTTAGCTAATTCAATTCTTTACCTCCGTAATATCTAACAAGTTGAGTCTTATGAATGCAAAAGCAGCTCTCTCAGAAGTAAGTTTCCCCGTATTGAGATTCATGGGCGATTCGGATGTTTAGCAAAGGCATTCATTTAGCAGGAGTTTACGCTCAACGCACCCACCATTCTTTTGCAGCGACCTTACAACGCTTACCACCAGCCATTAAAGAGAAAAGAAGACCGGACTAAAAGAGATCTCATTTGTTGTATACTTGTATTGCAGAATCAAAAGTATGTAACGAATTATAACAAACCATTCAACACTAACCAGAACTATGTAGGTTTGCATCTCAAACATCATTTAATCAGTTTCTACACCATCCCATAAGAACAAGATTAAACTTGAGCTTGACAGAGTGAACGCATCCTTACCAACATGAATACCTTGTTGAAATGACTTCATAATTTCATTTTTATGGTAGTATTAGTACTTAGTAGGCAGTGTTGTTGCAAAGTTCCTGATAAAATGTCCATTTTTATGGTATTGTTTTGTTAGAAAAATGAAGAGTATAAATGTATATATTCATTTTATAGTTGGGATACATGTCCGTTGCACTATGTAATATCTTCAAATCACCTGCTCTAATAAAATGTCCATAATTCCGTTGCCAATACATGAAAAGAAACTGTTTACCAAACCAAACTGTGGTGAGCCCTGGTCATAAGTTCCATTTGAAAAAAAAAATTGTTCATTTTAGTTCTTTTTTAATAATCATATTTTATACTTCTTATGAATTAACATTTTGCGAGGGTTATGGCTGTTGATCTAGTCGGGCTAATGCTTTCACAGTACATGAGCATGTTAAAACATATCTGAAGAAACTCTCATGGATTATATAATATCAACTTAATCATTCATATACTTACCGATGCCATCCTCAGCAGCACTCTGTGTACAGCCAACAGCATCCCACCAATCAACTCCAACCATAAGACTCCACCAAAATCTGGTATTAGAAAATAACACAATGATTACCAGAAGATATAGATCAAAGTAGCATAGCCTTCAGCTCGTTTTGGAGGTAACTACTTTAGGTTATAACTAAGCTTCGTCTCCAAATATCTCAAGCCATCGATGTTGCGCCTTTTATGATGTCTTTGGCAGATTTTTTGTTTAAGAGCTTGCAGATTCCGACTTTTGAGCCCTTTAGGATGTCTTTGACTGAACTTCTGCTAAGCTCCTTTATCAAATTAAAAAGAGCATGGAAGGATGCTTCCTCTTCTTAATTTTATTATATACTCGTATGAGCATGTTTTAGGTTGAAACAATTGTATATGTTTCAGACAATCAAAGTGTGTCCTAATTTCCTTTTGGACCTATGACGGTTAGGCGTCTTTCCTTCGGTAGAAAAGTTCTCATGTACATATTCATAAAAAAATTATCTTCCATATTAATGCATACCCATCCCAAACCTCCAAAGCTAAAACTACTGCAAAAGTTGACAAAGGATAGGCTACTTCATCTAGGCTGTCCAAAAACATGAATTGTGTTGATTTCTATGTCGTTTTCAAATACGGATGTGTGATATGCCGACGACCAGACTAATAAACAGGATATCAAGCATTCATTGCATAATGTAACTATTATGAACACCACCAATAAATGAAGCTTAGACACTTCAAATGGCCACCAGGTCTCTGGGTCAAACGCCCAGCCACCTGATTTCCCATGGCACCCGGAACTTCTCAACAATATACCCATGTAAAAATGATCACTGGAAGGAGTCCCTCTACTTCCTTGAAACTCCATACCAATATTGAAAGAATCTTCTCCATGATGATTCCCTCTTTTATATTTGCTTTCTCTTTGCAATGACAACACAGATAGAGACAAAAACCAAGTTGCTGACTATTACAAGGTGCAAGTATGTTGCATGTATTTCATGCAACACGTAATAGGAAATCAGAATAAGACCATCTTAACATCCAACTCTACATTTTTTAAGTTCAAAGAACTACTAGCCGATATAGGTCTTTCTTTCCACCTTTCATAAATTGCATGCAAATATAATGTATATTGAATGACACCTTAAAATGGAAACTATGTAGTATTTAATTTTCATAGTCTCCCAGCCTGCATTGAAATCCATTTAATTTTAAGAAGTACCATATTGACATTTCTTCTCACATCACATGTCAGGAGTCACAACTAGATAGCTACTAGTGTAATCAGTTCTGTAGAATACCTTTCTGCAATTGCACGTTCCCATGTTGAGGAGTTTGCCTTCACTTGACTGCTTGGAACAGCAGGGGGAAGAACACGGATTATCTTCAACATAGTGCAATCCCTGACTGCATCATGCCAAACAGTAGCAGAACAGCAACTAGTAGAAGAAAATGCAGGAGAAGCAATTGCAGAAACAACATTGATCTGATAGTTATCAACAGGTGTGAAGCTTGAACCAGAAAAAATGTGCACCCCACCTCGTAGAAAAGCAACAGCAACCTCACCACCATGAGCAGAATAGACTATGCGAGCAAGAGTTCTAACATCACTTGGCAAATCAAATGGATCAAAAACAACCCTCTTTGCCTTCTCACTGTCAGAGTCAGATGTGTTTAGACCCTCGGGGGTCAATGCTGTGGCAGCTGCTTGGTTATTTTTAAAATAATCTGTAGCCGGAATGCTTTTATTCACTTTTGTGATCCACACCGTCTGCATCGGGGGCTGCCCACCAAAACTGGTTGTGGGATTCCCAAATATCGGATGAAGGACAACAGGCTCTAGAGAAGATTCCCAACGTTGAACTCTCCATCCAGTAATTGAAGGACCCTCGTCTGGGTCGTAGGGAGACATGTATTGCCCTACATAGATGATACCAACCAATTAATAAGATCGTTTGGCTAAATAACAAGCATATACCTCAAAAGAATAAACAATAAATTTCATTATAAAGATGTATATCTACACTTACCATATCCATCTACTTAGAGCGAAAATGACTACTCACTAACATCAAAAAAGAGTCCACTGAAACGACTCATGTATAAGCATCATGCGAGTAAATATGGCTAATTGTCATGGGTTACCAAACTAGCATCACGTTGAGGCTGTTTATCTTCTTCAAACAGTGTAAAAGACTACGGGAAGGAATGAACCTTACCGCTCACTTTAGTGCTGTGTTTCCAGAAAGAGGTATGCCTAATGGCATGAACCCCTGAATTCTACTTGTTCTGCAAATTGAATAACAATGGCCCAAAAAGGACACACCAGCAAAATCCAGCATAGAGAGCATATTTCACAACAATGGAGAAGACGAGAAAAAAAAAGTTTAGTTTGAGGTCAGCACCTTCAACAATCACAATAGCAATCACAGACCCACCACAGGTAGGGTCAAAGGCAACTGCTGTGACTCCAGAACCCCATGTAGTTGTTGCTGCTGATTGAGCTGAAGCCTCTGGACTCACATATGCAGAAAAATTTGAAACAGGAGAACAATGAAGTGCAACCATGTCACTATAATCTTGCTCTGTCTGCTTCTTCCCTTGCTTAGCTTCTAAAAATAGGTATTCCTGCCAGCTAAACAAATACGAAGCCAAGGAGGCAAAACCATCCCATGAAGGTGGATTAAGTGAAGGAGGGATCCCATTGCTAGTAGTAGCCTTTGGAGTAGCTTGAAATCCATTGCCAGGACCAGGGGTGACCTCCCAGACAACAACAGTAGATGGGTTCACAATAGGAACTCCTGCCACATGCAAGGCTCCAGAGTCTGTCACAATTGCATCAGCTGCCATAATCCCACTAGGCCCAGCACCTAAAAGGCCTTTGCTTGTGCAAAACCATTTAGATGTGCCACTCTGATTAGATGGCCACTGAGACCAATGGAGCTGAACAGACCCAGATGAGAAGACAGAGCATACACAGAGAAAGTTTGGCCATCCAGCTGGATTTTAATAGCAACCAGATTAGATTATGTCATCATATTGCAAAAAATTAGAACAGTTACAAGCATGAAAAGAAAAAGGAAAGAAACTACAGAGAGGCTGTGGCTGGTATAACAGTAACATAAACACAGCAGTCAGCCAAAGCTGTAGTTCAGATTAAACTATAAAAGTTGTAGGACTACAAGGATCTGCCATAGCACAAAATTTGGGTGATATTGAAGACAAGCCACACTTTGTGAAGTCAAACTTAAGGTAGTTAAGAGATTAATGTAGCTCAAGCAAAACAAAACCTAGTTAAGTTGTGCTCTGAATCCTATTTTCAGATTATGGTGATAAATATAGTTTTTCGTGATACAATTAATTAGTTTTTGATATTTTTTAAACCAATTTAAAACAATAAGAAAATTTGGTTTTTACTAGATTCTCAATTAATATAAAGGAAATTCTCCAACTTGTATTTAGAAAATAAAAGGTTGTGGCAACCCATTCTAGTATATATCATGGTCAGGTTTGTTTATCCTTGCAAACCAACAATATGTATGAGGTCAACAACATGTGACCTTGCTTAAACAAATTACCATGAACACAACCTGAGCCGAGACAATCCAAATCTGTTAAAGTGCGACAACATCCCATTATGCACTTCATCTCTTAGAAAGAATTGTGTGGGAATCCATAATTTCCATGTCTATGCTCAAAGTACCTAAAATGCCATGGCAATTGAGTTTCCTCGATTCATGTGGCAGGAATTTGGTTAACATTCTTTTCAAAAATTCACCTGCCACCAAGCAGATGGATAGCCATGCAACACAGGGAAGAACACAACATACTTCAATCACTACCCAAAGCAGACGCACACAAACCAAGGTTTACTGTAGTCAGATTAGTGTATTAAGCAATTTGATAAACAATATTTTCTGCTTTCGATTCTCCTCCAATTTAGATATCGAACCAGCAACCCAATAAAAGTGCGTCCATGGCCTCTCTTATATATTAACAGTGATTAACAGAGCAAGCTCTTACTGTCGCACAGGCATGTCACCTGTTAGGACTTGGGATAATATATCTTAAACCATCACTTCCATCATATGAACCTTCATGCCAATTCCAACAAGGTCAAGGTATATGAATAATTTTAAAGGAGGCAAAACTTAAAAGCCACATTAAAATAACATAAGAACTTAGCAAGCACAGGAACCACCTGGAGCTTGAGGTCGTTGTGAGAGAAACTTTTCCTCAAATGTTGACTTCGTAGAACTACTAGATCTTGAGGAAAGCCACCTATACTAATTTTCATAAAAACAAAAGACGAAGAAACATCAAGGATGCATCACACTTTGAATAAAAATAAGAAGACAGAAATAGCTTCATACAGGAGACACCCCAGACAGCCACTTTGTAACAACTGCAATATCCTGCCGCCACTCATGTTCTCGCTGCCAACAACTAGCATCTTTAACCAAACTAACCGACCCCTGTAGTATCATAAAACATGTCAATGTCAATGTGTTTAAACAGAGAACCTAAATAATTTGGCAAGATAACTTAGCAATCAAAAGCTCAATAAGAAAGATCAGTGTACATGTTTCAGATAAATATTTATCCAGTAACAAACAATAACCAATAACATAAGATTAAATGTTAAAAAACTGGCAAACAAAATCTAAATGGGCAGGCAACGCTTACTTGGGAAGGCTGAGTCCAGATGGTTATCCGCCCATGAAAATTAGCAATTAGCAAAGCACGAGGACAAGACGAAGGCGACCATTCAATAAACTGAACTGAATCACGTGGAGAATCTGGCACCATTATTCAATCAAACAATTCATGATTTAGAATAAAGATATACCATAAGGAACAGCAAAAAAACATGTTAATGAGCAAGATTTCAAAAAAAATCATATCCAAAAACAATTCATAGATAAATCTGCAGTTGCCTTTGATGTGTGTGATAGAGTAGCTATCCAATGCAAAAAAAGCACCCAGACACTCAAAATACCAAGCGCATAACTACAGGACCAACATGAAAATAAAGCCACTTAAAAGAATTTTGTACACAATACCTGCTATGACATTGAATACGGTTGACTCGGTCGGTCGTTCAGGGATCACAATATGTATTGGAATCCAAAATGGTGGGTTTGCATTAGAACTACAAGAAGGAAAATAAATCTTAGAATAAAGGTATTAACCATAAATAAACTGCTTTGTCACTGAAGTTTAATATGAAAGGCATACATCTTAATTGCGTCTGTCTATTAATTATATGTGCCTCCTGAAACTTAATACTTAATGATAAATTTTGGAACTTTAACAACGCACATGCACCCCTGTAGTAATGTCCCCAACACTACAGACTACCTAGCCATGGAGATATATGATCCTACCACCTAATTGAAGAAGATGCTAAGCTGCTACCATAAGACAGCATTGATGGGGAAAAAAATGCCACAGCAAGTTCTTTTAATTATGTAAGAATCTGCTTAATTCTACAACTGCGGTTTCCTGGATACATGATAGGTCTGCTTCCTGTCACACGGACAGAAAACAAATGATACTCCATTACCTTGGTATACGTGCACAAGTCTCGGATGCACATGCTATAGCATTTAGCTTTCCACACCAAGCAACAGCACTGTTAAAGCAAAAGGGTGGACCCAATTAGAAAATACTATTACTCAATCGAAATGAAAGAAATTATGCTCCATATAGTCAAGTCACATAAACCATAAAGCTAAGATTTGGAGGGTTCCAAGGGCATATATTAGATACAAGCATAATTGGTTGAATAAAAAAGAGAGACAAACCACACATCTAGGATGGCAGGTAGGGATGGTAGGTAAATGTTGCAGATATGCATGAGTGTAAGAGCTAAACTGAAAAGGCTTGATGCATCAGGCTGTATTTTAACATGCAAAATATGAAAAACTGAGTTTCTCCTACAAGCTTCTGGGATACTACATTTCAAAGTAGAAAATGCATAAAAATGATTGTCCAATGTTTAAATTTTCGTTTAAAAGTGTGTGGCCTCAGATGATTGAATACTTGGTAATCACAAGCGGTAATCAATTTTTGGGATAAAAGAATGGTAAAGGACTACAAGGACACATATGAAAGTTGCATACAATTATACAAACAATCTCCAGGCTTAGACAGAGGTCACTGCAAATATCAAAATAAGCTTACCAGCCAATATCGTTAAAAAATATAACTCCCTTTCCTAATACGTCTCCAAAACATAAAAATAAATCCACCAAATAGGCAAATACCCACAAAAATTGTACTGCCTGTCTTTCAATCACAAACTATAGTACCCGGTGTGTGTGTGTGTGTACTGTCAACATGGTAATTTTCAAATTCAAAATCAACACGAATCTAGATGACTAGATCTCAAGTTTTTAACACCAAGAGCAAGGTATGTTCACACTTCACTGCTTCTCACATAGTTAGATTCCTTCCATACATCACAAAGCCAGAACTAGGTGTGATTGTGATAACCGGGTTTTTCGGTTATATAAATTTGGAGTGGTTTTTGAAAGATATTGGTAAGTAAAGTGATTTAATCTGTTACATGTTTACTTGCTTAAAATAATAGTCTCACCGCCTATGATTTTATGTATATTTTATTTCATGGGGGTGAGTGTGAAAATAATATTTTTAATTCTATTAACTCCACCGCCTGTGAATTATTTATGATAGTATAAAAGTGATAAGACAAGATTCATCTTATCTGTTTTGTTTTTGGAGGGAAGGAAAAAGAAAGAAAAACCTTACTCTCTGTGTGTGTGTTTCTTGTGTGAAATCCTACGTGAGTCTGTAAGAAGAAGAAGTTGATTCTGTGGTCATTTGAAAATCGCTACTATGTAAATTCATCTACGTATACGTGAATATAAGGTGAGTTTATGTTATTAACTTTTTCTATTTGGTATTTGAAATATTGAACCGTATGGTTCTTATATGGAAAGGTGATAAAATTGTTTCTTGAAGCTATTTGAGCTTGATGGTAAACTGGGTATAAAACCGTAAGGTTCTTTAAATAAGTTTATGTTATGAAACTGTTTTGATGCCATTATTGGCAAAAAGTATGGATTTTTATTATGATGATATCTTTTGTGGAAATAAGGGTGGCATATCAAGGAGAGGTGTACATTGGGATAAGGGTGGCATATCAAGAAGAGAGGTGTATCTTGGGATAAGGAAAGGTGGCATATCAAGGAGAGGTGTGCATTGGAATAAGAATGACAATTGTGAAATCTGAGTTTTGATCATATACTTTGTTATCGCATCCATGGGATGCAATGACCTTGAGTTATCGCCTCTGCATGATGCGAGGACTTGGGATTATTGCTCTTAATTGATGTGATAACAACGTTATAACCAAAGAGGCTTTGATTGGTTGTGCTTTGAATTAACAATGTTTTTGGGTTGGTTTAGTTTGGTTTATGGATGGTTATACTTCATGTTAGTTCAATAAAGTAAAGGTTTGATGAGGAGCCAGAAGAGCTTTGGTTGGTCTTCATGTCCAACTAGAAGGCCCCTGGTTGTAATCAAAGATCTAAGTTCTGCAAATGTTTAACATATCGACTCAGAGGCTCTGCATGTGCTATGCAGAGGCCCTGTGTCTTGGAATTTAATGGTAAGTCCGAGCTCTGTATCAGAGTTCTGTATCCAAGCTCTTAGATTCAAACATAACTTTTATAGCTAAAACCTTTTGAGCTTAACCATTTCCAAACTTTGGTAGAGGACCAGAGAGGCTCTGGTTAACTTTTATGTTTAACCAGAGGGCTTCTGGTTATGTTTAAAATTTATTTGCTTTCATGTATCTCATTTTCTTATTTTTCCTTAAGCTCTAGTTAGACAGACCAGAGGCTCTAGTTGTCCAGAGGGCCTCTGGTTGGTCATGCATCCTTAGTTGGTTTTAAAAGTTTGAGACCAGAAGCTCTCTAGTTGGTAAGACCAGAGGCTCTCGTCCTCCAAAGGGCCTTTGGTTGGCTTGCCTCTATTCCTTGTACTTTTAGTCGATAACCAAAAGCACTAGTTAATCATATATTTTGTAAATATTGCTTCAAGTTAGCCTTTAGTAGCCTTGTTTTAGTTAGGCTTTGCTCTGGTTGGTGAACCAGAGGAGCTCTGGTCCTTAAGGGAAGGAGCTCTAGGTGATCTCGCATAGAGCGATGCGAGGAATTTGAGAATCTCGCACAGAGCGATGCGAGGAATTTGAGAATCTCGCACAGAGTGATGCGAGGAGCTAAGTGGTTACGCTCCATGTGCGGCGAGGAAGATTTATAAATCCATATTTGAATGCGATACTTGAGTTATGTTTTATCGATAGGTTATATATATTTATATAATTACAAATATGATTTTATAACAGGTTTTAGTGATTTTTACCCTGTAATTGCATAAAAATGGATTTCTCACTAGACCTCAAGGTCTAACCCTCATTTTGTGTGTCAAAAATGTGCATTGCAGGGATACGGGAAAGGGGAAAATGTGAATTTTCCTTTTGTGCTTACATGGATTATGAAGAAGAACATGTTATCTATTGGTTTTGGAATACTTGTTATATATGCAAGCTATGTACAAGAATGTTATGGAAACAATTGGTTTTTATTTTTGTAATATAGCTTCTTGTACTTGTTGGGACCGAATGTGTACGATTGAGTTTTTCGTTGTATGAAATACATGGTTATATGCAAATATGGATCTTGGGGTGTTACAATGACCTACAAAGTGACGGTCAAGCTAAACATTCATCTTTCCATTCCAAGTACATCCCAGACATATATTCTTTTTTATGTCACGGTGGTGACTTTGCTCAATTTCAGATATTGAAGCATGACTAAGAGAAAACGTGGAAAGAAATACAACTAGCATAAAAATAGTCTTTCTTACTGTTACTGTTTATTCAACCACATACAAAGTGGGTTAGGACTTGAGTTACGGGGGATAAATGCTAACTCTTAGACCATTGAATCAACCCAATTATCAAAAAAATTAAGCAAATTAAAGATGAATATAATCAATTAGAACAATTAAACTTCAAATATAGAAAATTGAGTTCAACAATAGCGACGAGCTGAATTACCTAAAATTGCGACAAAGCTCAGGGACACTCATTTTGTACTGCAAATTTGATCTTGGCTGCTTAAGTCTAATACAAAACACGGTTGCGGGATTCACAGAGTCCTCCTCCATGGGAGTCCCGCCTCCTTTATCGATATCACTATCTTCTCCGCCAACGGCACCGGAATCAGAAACACCGATAGCACCGTCAGAAGGCTCAATAACAGAAGAAGTAGTAGCTGCAACAGTGGCAGTTGTACCACCAGAGGATAATTCTTCTTCAGAGTCTTTATTATTGTAAGCAACAGGACCAGACGAGGCACTCATCTGAAAGAAACAAGTAAAGGGCCAAAAACCCTAATTTATATATAGATATAGAGAGAGAAAGAGGGGTGTGTTTTAGAGAGAGAGAGATGAAGTGGTGAGAAAGTCGCAATTGAGGGCGACAGGAATGACTGGAGCTACAGACTTTGATTTGTTTTTGTTGAGAGAGAGAGAGAGAGAGAGAGAGGGGAGGGGTTAGGGTTTGTGTTAGAAATGAAAAGGGGGGGAGATTCTAATCAACAAACATTCTTTTATTACATGATTAATGATGAAAATTGTTATTATAATTTAAATATGGAAATTTATTATATTTTCTTGTGAAAAAATAAAATTCATGTAAACGAATTGATATTTTAATTGAGATGTTTCTAAAATTTTATTTGTGAAAATATTACTCTAAGCTTTTATTTTATTGATCCATCTCATACATATTTTCATGTTTCTTTTTTAATTTGAGACACTGCTAATGCATAATTAAAACATCTCGAATGATATATCAAAAAATTTGAAAAAAATTACATTTAACTTCAATAGTTACTTTATTTTAGTAAATCTAATATTAATTATATTATTAAAATATTCAATACATCAATCAATTAAATTTATGTTTGATATCAACTTGTAACACCCGTAAAATTTTGTAAATATCAATAAATTTAAAACTCGGTGAAAACCGACATTTTACACAAAATAAGAGTATCGACCCAGAAAGGGTAATGTTTACATGATAGTGGATAACAAAACTTAAATATCAAAGTTCTATGAAATTCTATTTAATTCTAATAGAACTAGATTTAAGTAAGGTTTGCTATCTTCAAAAGTATGGTAAGATGGCGTTTGTTTTTTAAGATGTGCTGAAATCTGAAGTCTAAATTTACTTCTGAATTTTAAGAGGTGGTGCTGAAGTCTGAAATCTGAATCAGTCAGACTGTTTGTTTTTACGTTTAAAATCTGAAATCTGAATCAATAAGACTGTTTGTTTTTGTAAACTGACAAATTTCTAAAGTCTGAAATCTGAATCAATTCATTTCAATTAAATTTAACTGAAATATCCAATCATTTAAACCATTTGTAAACTACCATATATTTTTAACACATTCAAAAATTYAATTGAAATACGTCAATTGATTCAACACACAATAGAAAACACGAATAAAGTCTCATAACAACTAGAATCAATATTCATTTTGCATTAATTGTGTCGCAATTTCTTCTCTTAAACTAGTCATATATGTTTGGTCAGCGGCACTCCCATGCGATTGAATCTTTTCAGCCTCATCCTCGTCATCGTTCTCTTGTTCGTTGGTTTGATCATACTTAGAAAATAGCTCATCACTTAAACCTTCCTTCCGTATGAAGTTGTGAACCGCAAAACATGCAATAACAACGTCTCTTTGAACCTCAAGTGTAAATGGTGCCATTCTTTTGAATATATGGAAAACGTGCTTTCAGGACGCCATAAGAGCGTTTAGTAACATTTCTAAGTTTTACATGAGAATGATTAAACTTTTCATACTTGTTCATTGCTCGTCAACGACGAAAGTCTCCGAGCCAATATCTAACATTATGATACGGCGCCATAAATCCTCGAGTATTTGTATACGCRGCATCACATAGGTAATATTTATCTGAAAACAATAAATAAAATGTTTGTTCAAATGAATATAGCAAATATATTACCTGTAAAATCAATAGTATACCTGAAGGAGGAAATGGAAATCCAATATCACCATCTGTTAAAGCTTCAAACAAAATTCTAGAATCATGCGCAATTCCTTCCCATCCGGCAACAACAAATGTGAAAACCATGTTGAAATCACAAATTGCTAAAACATTTTGATAACATTCACCAAGTTGTTTCTGGGTGAGTTTTACATGGCAAACTTCCTCAAGTTTGGTTGCCACTTTCACCCAAGTCTCCTTGCGAAGACTACCTCCATTTCGACCCACCTTATGGACCTCTTTTATACAAGTCTCTAGAAACTGTTTGGTAAGTTCATTTGTCTACTTCACACGCACATTCTCATCCATGACTAAATCAAGCAGAAAAGATAAAACACCTAAATCAACATTGTAGAGTATATATATATATATATATATATATATGAAATCTGAAAAACCAATCAAATTAAGTAGAAAAGATGAAACACCTAAGCCAAGAAACATATTTAAATGCCAATAAATTTGTATTGCTAAGGATAACTAGTCACATGTGAATGGGAAAATATGTCCAAAACAGCCATCATTCCAAGATCACAAGAAAAATTCTAATTTCCTGCAAGTTTCATGGCTACCACCAATATTACTATCAAACTGACACACCTTTTTATATGTAGGAAAAGCATGTGTGTATATAAAAAAGAATCCTAATCCTTGGCTGGTTGGTACTTCTTCCACTGTTTCCCTTCGTATAAGAAAAGAACACTCTCTTTGCTCACCCATTTATGTATAAGAAAAGGAAACACAGCAGATTATTATAGCACATAACATAGATTACTATAGTTCCTCTCATGAAACAGAATCAACCATCATTGATCATCATCAAGAAACAAAAAAAAAATATGTCTAAAGAACCTTAAGAAAAGCTAAAACCCCATATAAAGAATCTTAAGAAAAGGTAAAACCCCATATAAAGAATCTTAAGAAAAGGTATGATGTAGATAAAATTCACACGCTAGAGATGTATTTACAAGTGTATGGAAACTCATCATATGGTTAATGGTTTGTTGGTAGCTTGGTTGTTTGGCAATTGGCAGTGGTGGATTTGGTTAATGCATGCATCATCATTATATGTGTTTATTAATTAC